GTGTGTGTCGGTGTGTGTGTGTGTGTGTGTGGTGTGTGGTGTGTGTGTGTGTGTGTGTGTGTGTGTGTGTGTGTGTGTGTGTGTGTGTGTGTGTGTGTGTGTGTGTGTGTGTGTGTGTGTGTGTGTGTGTGTGTGTGTGTGTGTGTGTGTGTTTGTTTGTTTGTGTGTGGCGTTCTGTCTCCACAGGACTACTGGGTCCTGTGCGCAGAAAGCTCGTCGCACTTGGAGTGGCAGACCGTGGGATTCTTCCAAGATACCGAGGCGGGAGCGAGGGCAGGGATCTGCGAAAACGGTGTAGCGGCCGTTGGTGACAGCGGGGTGCGAGGCCTGCAAGGAGCTCCCAGAGCCGGTCTGCGACGAGGGCGAAAGAAGCCCCGCAAACGTGCTGCGGCGTGGCTGCGCTTGGCCGTATGTAAAGTCCCAGCACAGAGGATGCTTAGCTACAGAAGTATAGTACAGTGTATACTGGTTTTTGAGACTGAGCCTTGCGAGGCGCTATGCAGTGCGTTTCCTGCGACCGGAGAAGTGCTACCACTTCGCAGTGGAGTGCCGTGGATCAGCTCAGAGACCAAATAGAGCAGAGCAGAGCGAGAGCAGGGCGCGAAGTGTGGTCTAGAGCGGCGCTTAAGCGGCCGAGGCTACTCGGCGCTTCCCTCCCTTTTGGCTGCCTCGGCGACCCTTCGCCTCGGCGGCGAGGGAGGGACTTCGACGCTGCGCTCGCGCCTGCCCCTGCGAACGACTCCGCAGGCGAGCGCAGCCTGGGAGCGAAGAGCCATGCTCTATCACATGCGCAGCCGATGTTTTGTGAGGACGCAGAGGCAGAGGCTGCTCGCTCCTGGGAGCTCTGGAGACGCCCAGAAAACTCAGGCGCGGTTCGGGCAGCCGGGCAGCTGACCTCTGGCCTTGCAACGGTGTTCGCACGACGTGGCTTTGTCGCGCGAAGGTGAAGCCTGGCATGAGCCCTGAAGAGAGCAAAGTCTCTCCTCCAAAAGGCAGCAAAAAGCTGTCCTGCCTGCTAATGGAAAGCCTGCTCGCACAAGAAGTGCAGGCAGGCACTGCCGAGTTGGGACACGTGCAAGCGTGCGTGAGCCAGGTTTGGGACTTGCGTGCACGTTCTTGGGTTTGCTTAGAAGGGGCCCCTCAAGAGCCATTTGAGGAATTTAAAAAACACGAAACCAAACACAGCAAAGCGTAGGCAAACAGCGGGCTCTAAGACTGTTGGCTGATATTACACTGAGATTTCATGATATTGTGGCATCCTCGCAGCTTGGGATGGGATCCGAGACGTTGGGTGAGCATGAAGTGCATCTCCCTCAGGCACACTGCAGGTGCAGGGAATGCGCCGTTGCGTAGTTGAGATACAATGCGGTTGCTTCCGTCTCGAGCTGGTGTTGCCTGCATCAGAACATACAAAGCGCACATGAGCCTGGGCAAGTGGACTCAGTGCGTGGCAGCGAGTATCGAGTGCCGTCCCTACGTCCTCAGACACATCATGCCCCCCTCCTCCCCCCCACGACCCCCTGAACGCATGGGTCGCATCATGGGTTGAACCGAACCTCGAAGTCGCAATGGCTGAGCGGCAGGCAGAGACTGAGATGTGCAGAGGTCATAAGTCTAAAGAGACTGCGACACAGGCGCGCCCGCACTGCCCGGAAGAGGACCGGTGCCTCACAGGCCCGCTAGCCCCGACCCCGGCCCACAGCCAGAAGACTCGCAAGGAGACGTGGGAGGAGAACCTGGCCCTCAGGCACGGGGCGTTTTTTGAGGACACTCATTGACGCATGTTTTTGGGGCGATCACGTGACCGAGGAGGCAGCTGGCAGACGTCCATCATCAGTGAGAGTCTCAGATGCCGGCGCATCCGGCGGTGCCGGTCACGGCGGTCATGAAAAGATGCGTGGCCGCTGTGGAATCCGCTGGAGGCTGCGGAATCTAAAGGAGAACTACACGGAGGAGCTCTCCTTCTGGAGGACTCGAGTGCAGGGCCGCTGCCGCCACTGCCGCCACTGCCGCCACTGCCCGGCCTTCTCGCAGCCGTCACAGAGTCTCAGGAGGCGGGCGCTGGAGCTGCAGCTGGAACTCACGGCGGCGGCTTCCCCGGCCCGCGTGCAGTCGCTTGCAGCAGTCCTGGCCGTGTTCGTGTCAAGGAAAGGCGTACCCACGGAGGCCGCGGAGGCCCCGGAGAGAGAGCGGGCGAGAGCGCGGCGGGAAGCGAGGCGACAAGTCCAATGGAGACCTTTCGCAGCTCGAGCCCATGCCGCCCGCGGCGGAGGCGCCGTGCGGAGGTTACCGGTGGTTGGCGATGGTGTCGCGGGCGCCCGCTGCGCTCATTCGCACTCTGGTCCTGGCAGGATTCGCAACTTCGCCAGGCGCAGCAGCAAGTGGCCAAGCAGCTGGAGGAGAGCAGCCGGCGGGTGGCGGTGGGCCTGAGCGGGAGAGATCAGAGAAAGGAGCTGAAGGCCAGCAAAGAGGAGGCGGAAGCGAGACTGGTCCGGCACTGCGGCCCTGCCCTGCAGTGCGGTCGGCGGGTCGGTGAGACACCCAGGCGCAGAGCGAGCTCTTGTCGGAGCAACTGCGGGACCAAGCCTCTCAACAGGCCGTGCAGAGCCCACTGAGCCCAGTGCCCGAGGGTAGTGGAGGGGCCCGGCCCCGGAGGCAGTGGAGCTCCTGACGCGGGAAGGCTTGGAGCCGGCGGAGACCTTCGCGCCCAATCCTTATATCAATGCAAAAAGCGCAGAGCAGCAGAGCTATGCGCACGGCTGGCGCATGGCTGTTGCGGAAACGGCGCGACCCAGGCGCTCACTTGGAGAGGTGGAAGCTCCAACGCTCCGCTGGGCCCGGGGGGGCGCAGGGCAGGGGCGGGGGGCCCGCAGGGGCCCGCAGGGGTGCAGGGTGCAGCATGCGCGCGCGCTCGGACTCTCTCTCTCTCTCTCTCTCTGTCTCTTTGTCATGTCTCTCGGAGGCTCAGCACCAGATTGAGATGCGCTGGCGGCAGCTGGTGCCGGCCTGAGCCAACGTTCTCTCCTCTCCGAGCCAGATACCAGTAAGGCATCGAGGAAGGGCAGTGGAAAGAACGATGCCAGATGGAAAAAGAAGTCGAAGCTGATGTGCCATCCTTCTTCCGATGCCGACCTGCTCGTCTCCTTGATTGCGATGCCACGATGTTTCGAGCTGCCGTCGCAACTCCGCACCAAGTCGCTTCGGTATGCAACTGGCCTCTGCCGCACTCTAAGCCTCTAAGCAGTGTCGTGTCGTCTCAGTCAAGTCTTATAGCCCGTCGCATCCTCTCCTCCAGTCCCAGTCTCCGCTCTCAGCCGGTGCGCTTAAAAGCCTCTCAGCGTCGGAACGTGATGGCGCCGAGCGTCGTCCCGGTTGAAGCGAAATGTGTTCCATGGGGGACTGGCATCGCCCTGTGCGTGCTCACCTACACGATGGTCCACGTCTCCTGCCAGGCGGAGTCGGCGGTGAGTAGACTTCGGATTGCTGTTATGTAACACCGAAAAGGTAGGTACCGGAGGGGGGGAGTAACATATATATATATATATACATACATACACACACAATATACACATAGTGTCGGTTCGAGAGGCGCACCCCTAATGAACTCTTGTGGTTCTTTTCTTGAAGGATTGCAGGACATGGCAGAACCCGGAGCCTTGGGAATCCTCGAGAAGCAGCAGACGCTGTAGGCAGAGCCACAGAGCGCAGGTCATCACGTGCTCTTTGCCCTACTTGCCGGAGGATGCAGACTTCCAGGAGAGCCGCCCACTGTAAACTCTCTGCGCTACCCACCTCCCCAATGGGTAACCACCGTTCTGCATCTTGCAGAGCCAATCTACAGTCTTGATGCAAAGAAGGAGCTATTTGCTGGTGGTCCCTGCGATCTTTGTTTATTTGAGGTCATTTTAGGTGCTCAGCGTATTCGGTCATGCGACAGAGCTAAGTGGGTCAATTCGTGGGCGATGCCTTTGGCATGGTTGGTCTGCTTGCTTGTGTCAACTCGTAGCAATGACTGCTGGCCCATGTTCGAAGAAGCTGGACACCCCACGGACCTGACTGTCTGTGCTGTCGGTAAACAAAGGTCGGGGGTTTCGGCACCATGCAGCTAGCCGCCGCCAGCCCTCCAACTCCCAGCTGCCCTTCAACTGTCAGTCAAACCGTCTATCGTAATTTCGCATCAGTCTTCTACAGAGTTCTCTCGCAGTCAACAGACAAAGGAACTTCACTATTTTCTCATAGAGCACGCGAGCTCCAGAAGCATGCTTCGCGGCTTCGAGGAAGCCAGCCCAATTGTATGGACGAAGGAAGCGTCTTGCCTTTCGTGAAAGAGTGCTGTCTCATGCTCTGTTAGCGAAGCAGGTGAGGCCGCGGTTTCGGTTCTTTTCGTATGCCTCGGCTGAACATGAACGAAGTAGATGATCTTGATTTTATGGCGCAAAAGCCGAAATTGGATGTTCCAAACTTCGACCTGGTGCGGCGATCCGAAACGACTACGACTGCGATGCATGCAGCACCTTGCAAGCATTGCCACAGGATTGGGCCCCTTTGTTTCTTTGGTGCGGCTTGGCTCGGCTTGCCGTGACTTGTCGGTCTTTGAATGGCACTGTAGCAACAATAACCGACTCCGGTGTTTTCTGTCGGGTAGCCTCCACACGGTCTTGCTCGGGACTTTACCCGTGAAGTCGGGACCAGAGCAGCTTGCCGCCACTGCGCAAAGAAGATTTGTTGCTGTTGAGCTTTTTGGTGCTGGAGGAGGGCTGGAACACGTCGGATTGCGGCTTGGTGCTCGGCTTTGCAGCCCTTGCCGCAGCGTTGGGCTACGGGGTCCACGGTCCGCTGATCGACCGCGAGCACCTCAGGGAGTGAAGATACTGCCTTCTTCACCCGAAGCTTCCACGTCCGACTCGGACATCGAACGGATTCATTCCAGTCTCAATTATTGCAGCATCTTGGGCGTAGGAGTGCCACAGACATGGCATGGCATCGTCTTGCCTGGATGCACTGTAGGCTTCGGGGTCGTCTTTGGCCTTTCTGTCGCTCTGGGAGGCCAGGCACAGCACCCTCTTTCGTTTCAATCGCGGATGGCACTCGTGCAGGCTGCAGCTTGGGCGTGGCCTTGTTGGCCACGGCTGAGACGCAGGCTGCCTTCGTCTTGGGCAGCATCCTCGTGCGCTTCTCCTACGCTGCTGGCTGGCCCGCGGAAATGAAGGTGCTTCGCCGCTTCGGGCCTATAGGCCTCTGGTCTTTATTCGCGCTCTCCAAACCGCGACACACCTACAAGCGTACACACACACACACATTGTGCAACGTACCCAAACGCTTATGCCTGGACTTCTTGAGATTGAGTATTAACACGACTTCCGAATTGCGAGTTGTGACTTGTGTTTCAGGTTCAAAATTTGTCCAGCAAAGTTGCCCCAGGAATCTTCAGTTGTCGGTTGGTTTCGATCCGCAGTTTCGAGATTTAATCGATCGTCACTCTTCAATCCGGGTTTCGAGTTCAACCCTTTTCCGGTTCAGGTTGTTATGCCAAAGCATTGCGAGGAATTTTCAGTTGAGAGCAAGTGAGCCACGTGTGGGTAATTGCACATATGCTGCAACCGGCCGCTAAACAATAGAGAAGACTTCCTGTATACTGCATACAACAGCAAATCTTGCCGCATTTGCTGCGATGGGCCTGCCTCAAAGACACCAGCAGACCAATCGCGGAAATTCGTTCAAGCCGATTACGTGTCAGCCTTCTGTGATTGGCCTGGCCAGTATAACCTCTACCAACACATAGACTGTGGGAACTCACAAGGTGCTTGTGGCTCTCAGCGCTGTCTTGAATAAGGCAAGAGAAGCAGATTTCCTGCCTCCACCTTACACATGGGAAATGGTCTTTCACAGGTAAGGCAGTCCAGAGGGCAAAATCCCACGGTGTCGAATTGCGTGGGCATCAAAGAAGCTTGGGAAACAGATGTTCTTGTTGAAATGTTGCATCTATTGCTCTTACTTGCTGCACTTGGTGTGCGACATCTTCTAAGCCTGTTTGTCTCGAGGCATAGCGTGAGGAGTCGCAAGTGGGCGAAACGCATAGCGTGCTTAGCGTGTAGTGCCGAGCCACGGTATCATCGCCGCGGTTTTCTGAGCACGTTTTTGAGTCAGAACGCCGCGATGTCTCCACGTCTTCCGCGACAGGCTTTTCAGCCCGTGTCAAGAGCCTTGCTGGACCTGTGACCGCTCGCGAGCATTCCTGAGCATTCGGGACTGTATCTATGCGTACATTGAGGCATTCGTATGTCAGTAAAAACATGCATGTCTGTGTTACCAGAATGTTCTTTCTGTCAGAGGCGCTGAAGCTGCTGGTGCCAGAGGAGTACCAGGTGGGGGGAAAGGGGGGGACACTTTTCGCCTCGCCGTTTGCTCGCTCTGGTCCTCTTGTCCTTTTACGGGCCTTATCGCCTTATCGGATTAACGAGTGGGCCGGTGAGCCTCTGCAGGGCATGGCGGTGTCGGCGCTGGGCTTTGCCTCCCGCGGTGGGGCCATCCTTGGCCGTGGCTTCTTCGGAGCCTGGAGCCTAGTGCAGGAGGCATCTCTCTTAGCAGTGCAATCGCGGGAAGCGCTGGAAGCTCTGCCGGAGCAGAGACGGAATTAAGGCTTCAATTTGGGGCGGTTTTTTCGATCTCTGAAATCGTCGTCGTTATGGTTGCCGTGGTGTTTGTGGTGCTTGTGCTGAACGGTTGTGGTTCTCGCTGTTGGTGTTGCTGTTGACCAGCCTTGTGCCGCAGCTTGACAAGTTCTGGATTCGGCATACTTGCAAGACATTGTTTGAGTCGGAAAGGCTGCACGACATTACGTAGGCCTCGAGAAGCTTGGATGCGAGGTTTTGCTGCGAAGCTTTACCTGGAGGCAGATCGCCTGGCAGGTGCCGCGGCCGTGAGATGTGCGGATGCGGAGTCCTGTGTGCAGCTACAGCTGCGTGCTCTCGCGCCTTTGCTTTGGGGGTGCGGAGGCTGCGCAGCTCCTCTTCGTTGCCGGAGGCCGCCAAAGAGCCTGCTGACCCGGCTGGCCCGGCTGGACCTCGGTCAGGAATCGCAGTGCTCGTGATGCGAGGGCTCCTGACTTCGGCGAGCAAGGACGCCTACACTACACTGCTACACTGGACTAGACCTCCTGGCGTCTTGCAGGCACCAGAGGCCAGAAGCCAGAGTCGAGCAATCAGAGATATCTTGAAGGACCGGGGTGGAAGCAGAGAGCGCAGAGTCATGTCAATGATGGCTGCGCATGGCATAGCAGGAGCCATCGGTATGGCTGGTGACGGGAGCCTTTGCCTTCCTCTGCCATGTGCAGCACGCCGACGACTTCATGCCCCTCCTCTTCCAGGGGCTTACGAAGTCCAAGAGCGTCGTCTTGTCCTGCGTTTATCCAGGAGCCCGGATCTTTCTGCCGGCTGCCTGTCTTCCTGAATGTAATGAAGCAAGCAAGGCTTGCAAAGATAGAGGAGAGCACGCAAGGCGAAAGCCAGCAAATTGGCCCTCATCGCAGAGGAGCTTAGCAAATGACACAGCACTTCTTGCGTCTAGCTCCAGGCTTGCTTCTGTTGCTGCTACATGATTTCCCTATGGCGGCCATTGCACTGCTGCTGCAAGCATTGGACTTGGCCGGACATTGGACTTGGCACGTTTGTCGCAGTCTGACATGTACTGGTGGGATTAGTGAGTCCCACACTTCCGAGTACTGCTGTGATCTACACTTTGCTGAACTGCACGCCGTCCAGAGCTGCCAGAGCTTTAGACATGTCGAGCATTTCGAAGGAAACGATGACAAAGTGGCAACAAATACAATGAGTCGCACATCGCCGAAGCACTCTGCCGAAGCAAAGCTGCCAACAGATATAATATATATATATATATATATATATATATATATGGATGTATGTATATGTATGCTGCCCCTACTGAGAATCTGCACTTTGACTGCTTGTACACCACGCCATGATGCACCATGAAACATGTTATTCCAACTCAAACAAACTGTTTGGGTAGATGCACACAGAATTGATGTTCTTGAACAGGTATGATCGCAGGCCTTCCGAACGCTTGACGGCCGCATGTGAATATGCTCAAGTCTCTAAAGGAACGAGTTAGCGCATGCCATGGGGTTGGGCCAGCCGTCTTGGTCTGCTTTCGTGGGTTGGCATCTGACAGGATTGCTTAGCGGGATATTCGCAGGGGAGATTTGGACCCCTCGGAACCTCCAGAAAGAAGCCCTGCTTGACGCTGTTCGGCGAGCTGCCGAAACAGCCGTGGTTCAGTGCAAGCCTCTGAGGTGTGAGTGCAAAGGTGAGAAGCCGGGGAAACAGGAAAACTTCGGACCGTTCCTCACATAACCTCTCGGTGTGGATTTGGATTTTGGGGGTCGTGAGCTTCATTAACTCCGGCCTTGCCATTGCGGGGTGGTTTCGGCACTGCTTTGTTTGTTGCCAACGGCGCCCGAGAACTCCATCTGAAGAGGAGGGGGACACCAGCGATTCATCGCCAGACAGCCGGCGAGCCTTAGCCCAGGAGCAACTTGCCTTGATCAGACGGCGACGTACGTCATGGCACTCGTTGACAAAAAGATCTTTCTCCAATATGATGCACCCGGGCCGGTTCTATGGCATGAGCGACACATCCTCGAGCATTATGTAGATGAGCAGTATGTGGTAGTGACACCTGATCGGGACATATACATCGAAGACTGTTCGATGGGGAACTCGGACCTGCGTGGCATTCGTCACCGCTCTGTGGGTGGCGGTCTGCCTGTTGGTTTGCGAGCCTCTCAGGTGTATACATTGCCACCGTTCACTGCTGCGGAGATGGCTGGCTTCAAGGCCGAAGCTGGGCGTCAGATCGCGGCCCAGGCCGCTGCCGATGGAGGAGGTGTCGGTCTGGGTAACTTGGCGGGCGCGGGCGCCGTGGGCGCTCCTGTGGTTCTGCCGGTTGCCGGGCAAGCTGCTCAGGCGCCTTTGCCTGGAGGGGCCGCCTCCAACACGGTGACCTTTGAGCCGGACGTCCTCTATTGGTTGGCCGCCGAGGCCCTGGAGGACATCAGCTACGGTGACGCCATTGGTGGTGTGTTGGCTGTCCCGGCTGACGGGGCAAAAGCTGTTCATACGTTGCCTTCGGGAAGATCTTTGTTTGTTTTCTGTTGTCGTGGCAGGGATCGTGGAGACTTCTTGTCAGCCCCGGGCGGCTGGGACATCAGGACGGGAAGGGTCGTTCTGGACAGTCTTGGCAAGCCGGATCTTCCTTTGAAGGACGCCGCGGCAAGAAGTGTTCAGTCACCATGAGCTAACATGTCCGGGCCAAGGACGGCCAGGTGGTGCATTGCTTATCTGGTGAACGAAGGCATGGGCCTTGAGGGTCACCATGAGCGCTTCAGGACCTTGTGCAAAGTTGATGGATCGGCTTGGGGTGTGCAGGAGCATTTTCAGCTGACTATGATGGTGAGGCATTCCTTGCAGATTGACCAGCTGAATGGCTACAACCTCATGTCGGTGGAAGTCATGTTCCGGAGAATGCAGACGATAGAGTATGCATATGCCGAGAAGGCCAGGGAGATGGAGGCCAAAGCGATCGGGGGCAAATTGGCCCTCCAAGACCAGCAGGTGTTCGGTGGCCTCACTCGGCATGCTTCCACTTTAATGGTGTGTCCGGATCTTTTGGAGTTTGTGAAAACAGAGGTCGAACGCGAAGCCACTCTCTCTAAGAACCTCAGGAAGGCCCGTGAAGAACGTGAGGCCGCGAGGAAGAAGAGGGGTGGCCGAGATGATGCGTGACACAGAGACGGGCGGGGGCTCAGGGGCGGCTGCCGCCCGCTTCCAAAGCCCCTTGCATGATGATCCCCGTGTGCCGCGCGATATCTTCCCGCTACCTGAAGCGGGCTGCCAGGATCCTCCTGGTCGCTCTCTTTCTCAAGAGTGTCTGTCAACGATGGCAGCGCCGGCAGAAGCAGATTGACGATGTCAACGCGGCGATCCGGGGCCTTAATTCAATGTACGACCCCACCTTGAAGAGCACGGTGGGACCCATTCATTCATTACCTTCTTTTCGTGTCTCGGCAGCACAGGCTGAGGCTCTTCTCCGTATACAGTAATCGACGCAGCTTCACATTCAGCTTGTATACGGCGGACCAGCTGACCAGCTGCACCACAAGCCACAGAAGGGTTATAATCTATAGCCAGCTGATGTCTAAACGCGTTCACCCTAAAGCCTATCATTGGATGAGCCGAGAGAAGGCTAGAGGTAGCACCATCCACCCCTTTCAACAGAAGAGAAGCATCAGGTAAAGTCGCATGTATCTCCCCTGCCCGCTGTAGCCCTTGTTGCCATTTCCTCAACCCCTTAATTGTGTCACCAAACGTCTTACACTGCTCGGGGTTAACTAGATGCGACAACAAATGAGACCTCTCACTCGACTCTCCAGGTTGAAACAAGCATAGGATCCGAAACAAAATCGCTGCGCTAGACAGCCACCTATTTGTTACCACATCGCCCCTCACCGACTGAGGCACCGCAGCAAGGAGCTGACTTACAGCCCGAGACTCCGCCCGACCATACAACTGAGGATCAAACTCCCCCTGGACAGTAGAAGGGTCTATTCCCAGCCTTCCAAGCGGATCGGCTACCAACCAACGTTGATACGCCCTAGTGGCGGGGCCCTCAACACCCTGCCACCACACCGTCGCGCTAGGCGACAACCCAACTAACACCTGCCTAACATGGGCCAACCAATTCCCACAAGTTACAGCTGATTGAGAGAGCTCAGTCTGATTCAGCTTTGGCAACTCGTTTATATATTTCGCAGGCTCCTCAGGTCTAACTACATCCCCAACAGCCCTTTGTCCAGCCCCTCCGATGCTTACTCCTGGCCCCCCAAACCCCAAATGCAACCACACGACTCGGAAGGCCTCGTCGCCTCCACAAACTTTTTTGAGCAAAGCAGCCTCACGGATTCCAACCTGTCGTGCTACACTCCGGCATGCTTCACGCACCTTGTATTAATCGTACGCGTTGTGGAAGACCATCTGGAATACTCTATAGAATACCTCAAGAAAGCCCTCTATGACCCTATATATGATAGCCCCTCCAAACCGTGTTTTTACCCTAACACTCTAACGCTGTATAATACTCGTTAGATAACTTTTCGAATGTAGGATATGTATAAGGACAATCCGCGCGAACCCAAGATCTGAGAATCCCCCCATACAACTGTGGCTTATTGGGAAAGGGAATTCTAGGAAAGAAATCAGGAATCGAAGAGAATTGTCCATGAAATACAAAGTATTCTGCTACGGACCGTAAAAAGTTTCATATGGCACATTATATAATACCCCCTTTCTGATTTTGTACGCCTTATTGAGATTACCTGAATAAGTTCTACAATACAATTTTTACATTCATTTTTAGGCCTTGTAGAATTCCTTATACATGCCCAAAGAACTACATTACATAATATGCCCTTTACGAACCTTATAGAATACCATCTGCAATACGCTATAGTCTGCCTCATACAATATGCCCATTGTTGATACCCTTAGCATAGCCCATAGAAAACCTAATGACAACCCTATAAATTACCCTTCGGATGCACCAGAGAATGCCTAGTAGAGTATGTTACAGGCATTACGAATAAGGACGCAACCAGGAAAAAATATTATATATAATACCTGCTATATGCCCGCCAATCTGAAGAAGGACTTGGATGTGGCATGGATGTTCCATTGGAACAGGTCAAGGCCAAGACGGATGCCATCGAGCAGAAGTCCGTGGCCCGGAAGATGGTCGAGGATGGCAAGTTGATCCTGATGCCAGGCAAGGTGGTCTTCGCTGTGAAGCCATCACCGCCCCGTGAAGGGCGAGTCCAAAGAGCGCACGGCTGCTTGGTGGAAACGCAAAGCAATCTTGCTGGACAGGCTCACAATGCTCAGGAGCTACACGCTGCAGGAGCCTCTGTGGAGGCCCTTCGCCTCGCTCTTGCCTTGCCGGTGCCACTGATGTGTCAGCAGCGTTTCTGCAGGCGGTATGGCCGAAGTGTGCATTGAGGTGCCTGAAGGACGGATCTGGATAAGACTGATGATGGAGAGTTGTGGATGATCCTTGTACATTGGCCCTGGTCGGCGCGCTACCTTGGAGCAGGAAGCCTATGTCTGCCAATTCGACGGCACTGCAGGGCCTGGAAACAGAAGCCGCAGCAGAGACCACACAAGCCACAGCAGAGACCACACAAGCCGCAGCACAGATCACACAAGCCGCAGGGATCCAGCCACAACACAAACAGCATGAGGCAGGTTTCAGGGTGGTTCTTTCAGGACGCAGCGATGCGTCCTTCGCGCCGTGCGGTGGCAAGAGATTTGGGTGCAGTCTAATGATCGGAAAAACCCCCGATCTCTTGGAAGGCGACAACCGATGGTCGCTATGTCGGTTTGCGAAGCTGAACTGATGGAGGGATCCACGTGTGCCTTGCTCTTGGAGCCCAAACAGGCTATGCTACGAGAGGTTCTTCCAGACTGCGGTACGGCCACGCTGCACATAGACAACATGGCGGCCCATGGGATCCTGAACGGGGTTTCT